TAATGACTAGATTTTCTACAAATAAGTAAAACCGATTTTAAAGGCCTGTTTATTTTTGTTCGTGTTGCCATGGCAACGGCACATACGTCAGCTTCACCATCGCAAAACCAAATTTTTGTGTTGTTAACTTGCTTGCTGCCATTTTGGGCGTCCGAGAGATCAAGGGTTTTAGAGAAAAAGGTGAGTGAAACACAGGTATCAAAAACTGTGTTCAGCCACCTTAATTAGAAAATAGAACAAAGAAAACACACGCTTTGATTGGTTAAAAAGCGTATTTCTGCAAATTTATAGAAACGCAGAAAAGTTGTCTTAGTAACTTTGTTCTTTTATTTTCTTTTGGCTGTTTTCTAAATGATATACCAAACATTTTCTTCGTGTTTCTATCGAGTTATTGAAACATTCGTGAAAGTTTGGGAGAACTCGAAAAATCTGTAAAAACACTTGCCTATCTGCTCATGTTTCCGTAACATTTCTTTTTCTTCCGAACTTCCACTCGTGTTACTATAACTCAATGATCAGCTAAAACCCGTTTAGATCTCTCCTTAAAAGGAAAGCCAGTTTCAAATTCTTCTTTAGATGAATTTCAAAGTTAGGCCGAATATAATGTTCACGTGCACATTAAATTGAAATAAATAACGAATTATAGCTCGGAATAAACTAACGATTTTACAACACAATTTAAGTTGACAGGTTACATAACCGGGCAATTTTTTCCTTCCTTGTACGGGTTTCCGCCCGCAGGAATCCCTTGAAGAAGGCAATCGTCCCGAGCATTTTCTAAACAGTAGTTCATTATTTCCTCGGCTGATCTGGATACTTTCATCCGCTGCATTTTGGCTTGTACGCGAAGGAGATCTACAGTTTCTTTCAGAGCTGATTTCTTTGCAGGTATCGTGCAAGAGTTCTGTTTTGATGGAGAAGACATCGAGTCGGAGTTTCCTTTGAATTTCGTTCTGTAGATAAAATAAAAACAGTGTAGTAAGATTATGTTGGTACAAGAGAGGATGGAAAATACGAGAGTTAGCCCCCACCCCCCCTCCCTCTTATAACCTCCCCGTCCACACTACGCTTGAGAGATTTCAAAACGCAGCTTTATATCTACAGTTAAGCCTACCGTCCACACCAATCCGTCGCGTAAATGGAGCGTTTCGTAAACGCTCTTCAAACCGGAGGAATCTGAAAACGCCGGGTTTTCATTTTCTTGTGGACGGAAAACAGGCTGAAAACGGAGCTTTTTGAAAACGATGACGTCACGATAATCACGTGATTTCCCTGACCGAGTTTTCCTCAAACACAAATCCAAAATGGCCAGTGATTGTGGGATTTTCAATTTCCTCTGCTGGAGTGTGGACGGAAAACACTTGATGCGTTTTCAGAGTGAAACCGCCTTTCTCAATCTCAAGTTATTTTTAGACATGGTACCCAGTGTCCCCGGGAATACTGCTACTACGCGCTTTACATGGATGATAACATCATATTGGGGGATAAAAATGCCTGTAAAACTGTTTGGGCTCTCCAGGCGAGGAACAGTCTGGGCATCTGATGAAAGGAAACGCGAAATTCGTACATTTCCGCGCCGGATTTGCTCTGAAAAGCAAAGCAGTGTTTCGCCATAATGGTTTTCATTGACTTTCACATTTCTGCCTGGTGTGAAACATGTAAAAAGCTTTTTGCCATCAATTAAGGTTTTAAAATCTTGATGGCGTCGCGTGTGCGATTAAAACGTTTTATTGAAATCCGCAAATGTACCGATAACATCTCGCCCATCTGCTTCGTTCTCACAATTTGACAATTTGATCAAAACACCTGGTAAATCAAGGCTATTGTTTAACAATCTTAATTTGTATTTGAATTGATGTGTTACAACAATGCTGATTTAAGTATTTGATTCTTTTGTAAAAAAATGCTCTAATGCATGTTGATTGAAAACACAAAGAAACGAAAACCCCTCAATCTGCCTTGTTATGACCAAGTTGTTGAATAAACTTCTCCTTACAATGAAAATATTATGTCAAACAAACCGTTGATAAGAGTAAAGATAAGCACCGGTAAGGACAGCATTATCCTTCTGTAACATCATAAATGGAAATGTACGGCGACTTATTTAATTTTATGGAAGTATTTAAAAAAAGATATTTTGAGAGCTTGACAGAGCCAAAATTCGATTTAACAAATCGAATGCGTTTTAGCGTTGTCTGTACTGTTATCGACAACGATATGGGTCACCACAGTGGTCAAAATGAACCACAATATCAAAGTCAAAAAAATGGTTTTTTTTTTAGAGCGTGACCAAGAGCGTGACACATTGACGCGAGCAGCGTTGTCTGGACCCTTATCGATAACAACAAATTAGCCCATCAGATTGCAAGATTAGTAGCAATTGTGGTAAAAATATCTTTTGTCCATCGTCGTATAGTTGCTACTTTTTATAGCTGAGTAAGATTTTACTTGGTTGAGCAGGAACGCTCAATCACATACTACAGCAACAACCAATCCGACGACAAAAAAAGCAACAAAGACGACGTCGAAGAAAAAACAACATCGGCGAAAACGACGACGACGACGAAAAAGTTAACAACGACGATGATGGTGACGAAACGAAAATAACAACGACAACGACGAGCCAACGACAACGACAACGACGAGAAAATAGCAACAACAACGACGATTATGACGAAAAGAAAACAACAGCGACAACGACGAGGCAACAAAAACAACAACAATGACAATGACGATGATGACGAGAAAATAACAAAAACGACAACGACGAGGCAACAAAAACAACAGCAATGAAAATGACGGACTTTAGATTTGAGTATGAGTGGGAGATCGAGTACGAGAACGATTTTTCAATTCTAGTTTCCAGGCTTCGCATTATCACATCACATACCCATTTCATCCCATGAGCTACCCTCTCTACCTAAAACCATCATGAAGAACTAGGACTCTGGAAACGTCACTGGTTTGAAATCGAAAATCGTACTCGTACTTAATCTCCTACTCGTGGTCCAATCTAAAGCTCTATAACAACAACGATAACGACCAGGCAACAAAGGCAACGGCAATGACGATGATGATGGGAAAATAACAGCAACGACGATGACGGCGACGTCACCAAACCTACAAAAACAAGGATGAAAAACGACAACAACGATGACAACGACGACAAGTTAGTAACAACCTCGACAATAACAACAATGGCGACTCAGAAACGGTAACCACATTTTTTGTCCTTAGGTCAAAATATAAATTAAATGTCCCTGCTGATTGCGTTATATTTCTTGTGTTTTTCGTTCTTAGCACTTTGTAGTTCATCAAGACAAAACCGAGAAGGTGACAATCTTCTTATGCTTCTTAGTATCTTAAATTCGCAAGGAGAGATTTGAAGCTTATCAATTGCGAACATTTCATGTTTCACTCGATTTAGATAACTGGTCAGCGGTTAACATAGACGTACACTTGAATTTTTTGACATTTAATTTTTTTCCACGTTATTTATATTCTTCATGGGTTTTTAGTTAAAAGTTACTTTTTTTATTGCCGGAGTTATAAGGTCTAGGAGATCCGCTAAAACCGGCGCGTGCCATCTATAAAGCAATGACAATATTAAAATATGCTCGAGTTTATTACCCCATTTACTTGTACGAAACTTGATGTTATCAGTATGGTCGTACAAAGATCTTTGACTTCGTTTCATTTGAATAAAAGGATTTCTGTACGTCAGGAGATAGCGTACAAAAAGTAATAAAGCCTTAATTTTTAACAGAAAACGAAGTTCAAGGAAAGACAGTTTTTCTTACCAATGAATAACAACCAACTATTTAATTTCGTCGCTAGCTTTGAAACATTAGTACAGAAAGCAATTGATTCAAGGGGTTCTTTCTTTCAAACAACAAAATCACGCACAGTAGAGAGCAATATATATCTCTGTAATTGATAACTGAAAACGTTTTAGTATTTACTTGTCCTCATGCATGCAGCGTTCATATTGACACAAAGAAGTAAATAATAGAATCGCACTACCTTTCAAAAGGAAGGAAAAAAAGAGAAATACGAAAACGCCTCATGAAAAAGCTGAGACCCACGCAAGTCACGCAAAAACATGGGCTGGAAGTTCGTCTTTTTAAGAAAGTTTCGCTTGTTATTAATTTTCTTTGGAGAGATATATTTTAAATAATACTTCACTGACCATTAACAGCGATGGAAGTGTTTGGAAATGGAGCGCAATCGAAATGAAAGAAAAAAATTTACGTAATTCCTTACACTAAAACGAATGAAGACATGCACTTAACCCGACGGCGGTTTTTTTATGAATTTGAGATAAGAAAAATGAAACATATATGAAAGAAAAGAAAAAAAATCATTTTCATTCATTACCTTTCGGAATATCCTCAAATGTTCGTTGTCTTGTGCGATTCTTTCTCGAATCGTTTCAGCTGCAGTCAGTTTCCTTGTTTACCAATAAAATTCTTCACCTTTAAATATTCCGTTTGGCCTTCTTTCCAAGATATTTTTTACACGCGGTAAAGTCCTTCGTGGGTAAAACAAAATCGGTGTTTCTATGGATCTCTTTTCCTCCCAAAATTGATAAATTTGCTCAGTCTGAAAAGAAGGAAATCTTGCTGTGATAGCTTCCAGCTGTAAATTATTATGTTCGCGTTTCGTGAAAGTAGACTCTACAAGCGGACCGCTCTATTGATCTCGCGATTGACCATTGCGATCCACTCGTTCCACGCCACGGATCGCTTCTTTTTGAATTGCAGGGCCTCGTCTACCGTTGTTTCATCACAGGATTCCTCTCGCTGTAGTTTTGAATATGTAAATACAGCACGTATTCTAGGACGCTCAACAGCTAAGCTAGCAATCGGTAACGCGGGCGATTAGATCGCTCTTCTTTGAAAACATTTAAAATACTCCCTCGCACAGGTCGATCGTTTAACGCGCTTTTCAGAAGACTATGTGGTCACAATTCTAAATTTATTTTACGTAAGCTTGTTTGAGAGTGCATATTAATATAGAAGGTGGCTATCTAGCTTGTTAGATTTGCATATGAACTGTCAGCAAAGACAAAAAAACTGAAATGATCGGCGATTAATTCATGAAGACAGTCACCGTTTTAAGGCTAGAGGCGAGAAAACGTTTCTAGTTCTTGTCTTGCCAAAAAACTGTGATTAGGTAGATGACTTTCAAATGAAAAATGTTCACTTAATGGAATGAATTACGCGAATGTTATCCTAAAGCATCAAAAAATTTGAGGCCATCAAAGATAACTCTCGCCAACGCACCTTGGCAAATACAGATGGTTTGCTCCCTCCAATTGTTGTCTTCGCGGTCCGGGTATTTTCACAACAAAGACACCGCCAAAAGAGATTGGTACATGCTAAATGGGATATAAAAAGAGGAAAATGTTCAAGCTCTTAGAACATCACGATCTTAGTTTGCCCACGTTCAGAATCAATCGAACGCAAGTTTTCCCATTAGTATAAGTTACTGCCAGTGGTTACCCGCTGACAGCGTTTGTGAATAATTCACCCCAACCAAGAAAACAAACAAAGCTCGCCAAGAATTACAATGAAGCAGCCATTGCCATGACTTTTTGAAGTAATACAACGCGTTTCAACGATTTCATAACATGTAATCGCCAACTAATATAGCAAACGAGTTCGGTTATTAATATTTTTTACTGTTTGCGTTCGCATTTCAGCATAAATATCACATAGGTAAAATTGAGAAAGCGAATATACACATGAACAAAAAGGGGGTTTACGAGGCCTGATCGATCAATCTAAATTTCTTCCAAAAAAAAATAAAGTAAAATAAAAAAAACGAAACAACAAAAACAACAAAAAACAAAAACAAACAAACAAACAAAAAAAAAAAAACAAAGAAAGAAAGAAAGAAAGAAAGAAAGAAATAAAAAAATATCATGTGAATCAAAAGTTTTCAACTTTTCTTATTTCCATGGTTTATTAGCCCAAATCAAATATTATACTCTTCATTGAAACATTGTTATTGAAAGAATATTTAAGAAATACAGGGACAGGTGATTCAGACAGGTTAATAATAAAGTCTACCAAACTTTTGCCAATTAACTTGATGTTTGACAGTGTGTGTTAAAATTCAGTATTCCGTGAATTTTAATTAATTAATATATATTCTCCACCCAGAGCACCTCCTCCGTCTTGAACAACATTGTATTGCTCTGGGCTCGAGAACGTTAAGCGAGAAATTAACAATCTCGCTCCTGGAGCCCGCGCTCCAGCGGCGACCGAATACCAGACGCTAAATATGCCATTTTCGAGTTACCGTGTGCCTCTCTTTCAGAACGAGTCTTCGAGTAAACCTTTCATATAAAATTGAGTTTGATTTGCACGAAAATGAACCCGTAGGCCGAGCACATTTAAATATGAATGGTTTCGCACGGACTCGTTTTGGCATAAAGGCACAAGATAACTCGAAAATGGGCTATTCAGCAACCGGAACCAGAAAACCAGAAAACCCTGGTTCCGGTTTCATGTATAGCGCGCAAGCGTTAAAGTTCATTAACAGTTTTTGATCGTTCGGAGAGAGGGTTACTAACTTCAACATCAACGCCTGATTTCTCACAGGTCTCGATTTCTTTCCAAGCAAAAAGATCGAGCTCATTGTATTGGGAACGAGAGTGCGAAATTTGATTTGCGAGGGAGCTTTGCGCATGCTCGGAGTTATATATACTCACTATTCAAATACACGAACTGTCACTCTTCTAAATTAACTGCGACATTCAATTGACCTTACAAAATTCAAGTTGATAGCCGGTCAATAAATAAAGTGTTTCTGGCATCCAGATTGTCATCTTAATAGTTTCCTGTACTTTTTTTGTCGTAGCAACATTTTTCAGGATTCACGCGGGAAGAAGCTTGAATGAAATCCTCCGTA